ATGATTTTGTTACAGCGCTACATTTTTTTTGCTTGTTTAGTGAAAGGAAACTTGTTTATGCAACACATTTGACATTTTCATTGTTTCGATGATTAAAATTTTTGTGTTTCATATGAACGTTGCACAAGAAGTGGTTTAACAAAGACTTTTTCATCCATTTGTAATATATCATATCGAATCGAAAGTGGCAACTTCTTAATGATACCCAGCACTACAGTGGATACTTTTTTGTTTTACTTCTACATTTAAGAGAAGGTATCTGTACTAGTTTCTACTACATTTTTGAACTGGACTGAAAAGTAAAAGTATTATTTATTATAGTCTGAGACCTGCTGAAAAGGCTGAGAGTTTATCTTTTAGCACGTTCATAGTTTGAGCAAACAAAAATATAAAAATCAAAACAACCAGGGAAAAAAATCAATTCAAAACTACTACATTTGAAAATTTATTAGATCTCAAAATCAAATTAGTTTTACTTTTTCCTCTTCACGTACATTTTTACTTTAATACTGATTTTTTCACCCAATACACTTTTTTCCTTTCATGACAAAGCTTTTTTTTTTTTTTTTTAATATTAAAGCTTTTTCTGAGGAATGTATTAACTTAATGCGTCAAAGATGAAGGCAATAAAGGGAAGAGGCTCACAGAAAAGCAGTGGTATTATACTAGATGCATGTTCCCACAGTTGACCCTGAATTTAAAACATGACAATTCTACAGAGAAAATTACAGCATATATTACTGAACAAAACACGAACAGCATGTATAAACCACCCACTTTTCCTACGTAAGAGCTGCCTACCTGATTTTCAAACTGTGCAAGGAAAAAGTTGGTATTATATTATATTCAAAGTCTCATATTACACAACATTGGCTCTTGTGGGCTTTTAGACATTTGAGAATGTTGTTACCTCGCCAGAAACATACTTGGAGTTGTGTTTTGTTTCATTCACACATGTTTGAGTAATTATGGTTTATTAGTCAGTCAGCATCTGCAAAGCTCAACACGCTCTGTTCCACCTTGTGTCATGAAGTGGTAGTTTTCAAGTTAGCAGCTACCTTTCACCTTTTGTTCAGTTTTGGAGACTGGAGGGCTGAAATTATGAAACGATTCGAGCGAAGGTGTATGGCGTTTCAAAATACAGTGGAGCACTTCCTGTATTACACATCACAACGTAGAACAGCATGTTTTCAGTCTGAGAGAACTAAACTAAATCTGCAGGGTCTGTCCGTTAAACATGTGTGAATGAAACAAAACACAACTCCAGGTATGTTTGTGATGAGGAAACATTATAACATAGATCAGACCTCAGGGCCCTTTAAATCTATCAAACTAGCTCTCACAAACCTCATGTCACATCATTAGTATTCATATGGACACAGTTTATGGGCAATGCACAGCTTTAGAACACATTTTCAGCCAAAAAAAAAAGTGAAGCAGGGTGAACCACTCACACACTCTTGCACAGTCAATCAGCTCTCACCCAAAGCATTATATAGTGACTCACATAGCTCTTTTTCACATGTCTGGCAGTCTGATTTTGTTACTGAGTCCTGCTTTTACAGTACATTTACTGGAGGAAAAACATATCTTACTAATTGATGAGAAAAAGCTGGCTACTTCAGCTTTAAGGCAAGTGTTAACACCTAATATAAAAACGCAACTGGCTAAAAAATGCCCATTAGACAGCTATGCCAAAATATGCACAATGCTGAATTTTAATTACTAATACCGTATACTTCTATGTTATTCACTGGTTCAATTCCAGATGTGAGCTCGTTCCCATTGTTAGAGAAATGAACCCCATCTTTAACTATGCCCAGCTCCTTCTGACCTACTCTACATGCGAGCGTAAACAAAAGAAAGTGAGCCTTGCATTAAGTGACAAAAAGTAGGCAGGACAAGTGTGCAGAAGGAGCCAGGAGCCGAGAGGAGCTGCACAGATTTAAAGGGCTGAAAACATATAAATAGCATTGGGCCTGACAGCGGGGCTACTGACACAGTGGCTCTATGGCAGACAGCTTATGGCCGGCCGACATAGTAAAACGCTACTTCATTAAGCCCAAAGGGAAGGAAGGCCCGGACAAAGCAAACAAAGCAGAGAAGAGGAGAAAAGGAAAAGGGTAAATGAGTGTTGGGGGTGCACTGGAGGGGGGTAAGCTGAAGGGGGGTCTGGGGAGGGGGTCTGAAGAGAGCATCTAAAGGTAAGGCTTAGCTATATACTTTCTTTTACTATAGAAATGTTTCCATATACCACAAGAACAAAGGGTTTTACAATGCAACTAACCCTTTTTATAGTATGGCTAAACATTGAATATTTAATTATTATAAATATTTTACTTGCTTCGAATTATGTTTCTACGTGGTAATGAATTTGTTCGAAGCTTGCCAGCATTATATTGGATTATTATTACCTATATATATCAATAGATTGGAAATGTGTTGCTAAACCAAGAAGCAATTTAGGATACGTGGTTAGTATTCATGGGGTGCATTCACACTTTGGCCTGGTTTCATCCTGGTTTAGTCCTGATGTAGACCTGGTTTGGCCCTGGTTTAGTCCCCGGTCTAGTCCAGGATTAGAATGAACACACCCTGATACAAGCGTGTGTGCGTAGAAAATTAAAAGACTTGTTTCACAGCCCATTTTGTGATGCATTGCAAATCAATATGTGTTCTGCTTTCCATCAACAAGACAAATTCCTCCTAGATTAATGTGAATAACAGCTCTACCACAGAACAAGAAAGAAAATGTATTAATATCATCGACAATATGTACTGTTTTCAATGGGGCTGCACGGTTTTGGGGGGAAAAAAAAGAATCCTGACAAGCGCTGAATTGAATTTGCGATATATGTTTAAAAAGTAGGATTGTGTTCAGACTCAGTGTGCTCGTTGTAAACAAACCCAGCTATTAACATTTGAGAGATGACTGAAATAGAAATAGAAATAGAAACTGAAAAATAAATGAATTTCATGAATTTCAGCACGTTTGTAGAAGTCTAAACTACAGGTTCAATATTTCTCCATAAGACGTGACATTTTGTTGTTTCTATTCAAATTGCTGTATACCGTGCGCTCCTATAGTATTTTTATATTTTGTATTCCTCTAACTTGTCACTTGGGGCCCTCACTTCTGCCAGCTCTCCGCAGTCAGTTCCCACACTCTACGGTGACGCCTGGCTGTGGCTGGGCGTCAGTAGCACCCATAGGCGCAGGCAGGAGCAGAGGTTACTCCAACACATGTCAGGCCCACACCAACCGTTGCCTTGGTGCTCCACAGATTCGAGCCGAGAGAGGAGAGAGCGGTGATTTGCCATGACGTGCTCTGGCCTAACTTTTGCTTCTCTTTTTGCCTGTTGTAACTCACTCGCTAACGTGTGTCTCACTGTCTGACAATTTGAGAATTCTAAACCACTCTTCGTTTTTCCTTTCTTTGTCATTTGGAGTCTATTTGCAATCATTCCACAGCAGACACATGATTCAGTTTTTGAAAAAAGGGTTGACAACTTGGCATTGGATAAATATTGAGCTGACATCGCCCTGGTATATAGACCTGGGTAAAGACTTTTGGTTTGATTTTGTTTTAGTTTTCACATTTTTTTACTTTATGAGAACGGAATATATCAGAATTGAGGTTGGGTGAAGATTTTATCTGCACTCACACTTACAAATTTCGACTAAACCCAGAACTAAACGTGGAAAAGCTTAGGATTACCGCAGGACTATAGAACAGAACTAAACCAAGAATGCATCGGGACTAAACCAGGACCCAACCCAAGCTTTAATTACTAAATGTTCTTACTGGATTAGCCCCAAGATAGCCCCACTCTACTTGGTTTAGCCCAGTCTTGGTTTTGATCTGATTTAATCACGACTTCATTTAGGTCGGACATATCCGGGACAAATTCAGGTTCTGGTTTAGACCTGATTTTCATAGTTCAGTACAGTTTTTTGCAGATTTTCACACTGTTTTACCTCATTCCGCAAGATTTATAAAGCCAACTACTTCCTGTCACAGTGAAGTTAATCTGAAAAGTTTGCTATTCACGACAAACACATTAGCTGTAGCGATAAACAGGAACCAGAAAGAAGGATATCAAGTGGACGGAGAGCATGTCCCAGGCTCAAACCAAACAGGTGCATGCCATTAAAAAGCTTCAGGACTTTATACAGCGCCATTCCACGCTACAACAAGTGTGTAATCGATGTTGTGGAAAATAAAGTGAGAAAAAAGTACTTCTAATTGCAAAATGTAAATATTGAGTTTTCCCACAAGCGGGGGCAGACCACCCAGGATGCAAAATAGTCCACCCACCCCCTTTTCTCTCTTTTTTTTGCCTTGTCGACCGCCCTAGAGATGTGTCTTTTTGTGTGCGAAACATCACCAACCACAATCAACACAGGGCAAGCATGATGTGTCCTTGCATGTCAATACTCCTGGCAGCCGTTGCATTGTGGGAGAATTTAAGTGATGAAAACCTGTGCGGAGGAGGCAGGCGAGCCAAATTGCAAGCCCAAAATGGTCTGTCCTATTTGGGTAAAGGTAGTTTTGGAGTCTTGGGTTCATAATATTTCAGCAGTACTGTAGGAGCAGTGTCAGAGGGGCTGTCTCCTGTATGTGTGTTGCACTCTGGTGTCAAATAGTTGTCTGGACTGTGGCAAATGCCTTCTCCTAGCTCCAGCACAATGACTTGCTGAATAAACCATTAAACATAACAGGTTAGAACACACGGCCAGTTTAGCCAGTTTATTTTAGCACTAAATCAATCCCATACAATATTTTCTTAATGAGTGCACATTTTTTAGAAAACCAGATCATGCACTTTGAAACTAAATGAGCATTGCAAGGAAATTTAAGTTGCTCAGACACAAAAAAAAAGCCAAGATATGAACGTTTGAGTGGTTAAATGGCACATTAGGATTGAATTGTGTGCGTAACTATATCACGTAAATGAGCACGAGGAAAGATAACGCTAAAATTGTCATGCAAAACTTACCTTGAGTGGTTTTACTTCCTGAAGCTGACTGCTGGACAAAGGCGACCAGGCAGAGGCTCACAAATCCCAGACTAGCGCGTATCAAACCGTGCATGTACATGTTAACTTTCCTCTTAGTTAAAACACTTAAAAAACAAAACAAAAAAAATCTACGATGCTCACGGGCGCATGCGAAGACGATTCCGTGTCTTCTTTTTTTCCTTATTGTCTTCTTGGTTTTCTTATTTCAGTTCCAAGTGATCGGAATTGAGAGCAGTCCGAGGAGACAGAGGCGCAGCGAGGATTGCAGCAGCCGCTTTTACTGTTACCATGTTTCTGGCCAGACCGATGTCAATTTAAGAAAGAGAGTGAGAAAGAGGGAAAGCGAGAGGGAGAGAGAGAGGAACAAGAGAGATGCCGTGAGTGGAGGAGCGGCGGGGACTGAAAAAAGGGGGAGGAGAGAGACAGAAAGAGAGAAAGAGAGAGAGGGAGTCGACGTAGGAAGACGCGCTCGGCTCCGGATCGGCTCCTTGCGCGCCGACGTTGGTTCCACACAGGTGCTGCGGCGTGGACACCTCACATGGACACCTCACATGGACAATTGATAAAGAAGTAACTACAAAAGGAAGACAGCCAATCCGAAAGCGGCTCGAACCTGCCTTTTTGGCTTAATTTCCCAGAATGCAACCGCTCCAATTGGGGTCTTCGAGCAATTTCGTCGCGTGAACTCATTTTAGATACATGCACATGAAAGGGTTTTTAATAAAGTCCTGCTGATAGAAAAGTATTGCACGGCAGGAGAGTCACAGCTGCTGTTCCAACGCGAACAAACCGCGCAGGTATGGAGAGGTAATTGAAGGAAAATTTCAAATGATAAAAGTGCTCTCATTTAATAAAACAGCAAGAAATAAGGACATTACATTTACTTTTGAAATACAAAAAAGAAAGTATGAATGTGTGTTACAATAATATATTCTGACACTGATTTAATAATTAGGATTTGGAAATAATTGTGGAATAGCTCGATTTTGCAGGCACCAAAGGTTACAAACCAATCATTTCTGAGCTAGTCCCCAGTGTCGGAAGGGCATCTGGCCTAAAAACCCCATTCCGATCATTATGCAGCTAAATCATTACAGAAAGCAGACATGAAAAACTCCAGAATTGTTAATATAAAACAAAAATAAAAGCGGCAATGACTGAGATATTGATTGTGATGAAGAAAAAACACAGAAAGGGTGAGGAGGTCGATGGTTCCGCTGCTGCACGAATAGTGATTTGGGGTAAAACTACAGAAATAGGACAGAGAGAGTGCATTTATAGTTGGATGATTTGATATTAGAGTGGTGGAGATGCAAAGGCAGCAGATTCAGATCCAGTTCCAAATTCCAGTTCCAAAGAATTCCAGTCCTCTTGTCTGAATTTATGTTTTACCTTAAAGATGCACTGTGTAAATTTTCTATGGGAGGGCTTGCCACCTGCTTGTGTCCTTGAAGATGCTATTGTTTTCCCTGTAATGTTCCACAGTATGGAATTAAACGCATGAAACTATCCTGCTTTTATTTGATTACAGATACTTTAATACTTCAATAACACTATGAAAAAGCTGGATCGCCTCACCACACATCCATGACCTGTAACCTGGTGGTATCATCTGCCAGTCTCCATGGAGATAGATAAGTTTAATGCTGTACTGTTGAACATCTCAGTCAAAGCAATTTCATCTCCATAGAGACAAGCGGGTTTCACAGTGCACCTTTAATAACTGATGATGACCATATGTTGTGATCTTTCTGGTGCAACAGGACTCTAACCTGTCCTTTTCTCTGCGCATACGCACAACAGCACAGCACAGATCGGGAGCGTGAAGAGGAATGAGGCTCGGGGAGTTACATGAATCATAACAGACCCTTCTCACATTAGGAGCAGCGGCCCACTGAGCTACTGTGCCATATTTCTCTGGCATTGACATATGAAGCGTTTGTTTTTGGGGGAGCGCAGGCTGTGAAGCAGAGGCATTTTTATTCCCCCACCTGCCTCCCCCCTCTCTATATTGTCACCTAAATTTGTCAGCTGTGTTGATGCCTTTATGTTTGTGTTCCAGCGACGGGCACATTCTACTCTATAATTATCTCGCCCACTCCTGAGCGTAATTTTTTTTCTCAATCAAATATAATTAAGACCCCACAATGAGGCTGATTGGAGATAACAACTTTCTACAGAGAATTTTAAATACACAAGCTGGTAACCTGCAAGGTCTGATGCCAGGAAGATGGCTCATTATCTTCCATCTTATCACAGTAATTATGTGTGCTTTACCTTATGTACTCTGGGTTTTCCATGGATAAATTAATATGCTTCCCAATCTTCCTCTGAGGGTTTGTCCGCCTGGAGGCCTCAATGAAGAGATTCAGTGGAACAACAGTAACCTTCCGAAGATCCCACTTTGCATCTACAGAAGAAGAAAAATACATGTAAATCCACAGCACAAAGTCAAGCAGTTCAGTGTAATTAAAATAACATCCGTCAGGGATATGGAAATATCCCATGTCCCAGTGTCCAAATCTCTGGGTAATTGTGAGCACTTGTATAACCAAATGAGCTCAGAGGCACTCAGGGAGTTGGAGAAAGTCAGAACTGGGCTGCTGCAGCAGTCACACTGAGGGATCACTGCACTTTTCATGGAAACACATCATTAAAGACACAGGAGCGAGAGCGGCCATCACAGAGTGCACCAAAACGGCCTATTTTTACACCAACACAAACACAGGGGAAACCCAGCCAATGTTTAATTTATGACGCTCAGCGTGGAGACGACTCAACACCATGTGAGGAGGAGGGTGGAAAGAGCAGGGAGCTGCCTTCATAGATAATAAGTCAAATGAAATGGCATCATGCCCATTTATAGATACACCATGAGCACCGCGGCAGGAGATTTTCTACAGAGGAGCAGTGTTCTCATGAGGCCGGGCTTTAAAACTGGGTACACTCTCTGTAGTAACATATTACACCATAAAACTTAGGTTTACTTCATAAAAGGCTGATTGATGGTAGTACTGCAGTCGCTATGTAAAATGGATTACTGCTTCAAATCTTTTTGCAGCAACTAGTTGTTTGTAGATGTGCATTTCTTGGCTACTTTTCATTCTAAGTCTGAAATACTAGCTCACAAATGCTGGAGCAGCTGTTGGTACAAGATAAATCTAAGATGGATGCATGTAGCAGCCTAGCACAGCAGCACAAAGCATGCAGATGCAGACAGGAGCGCGGGGCCCTGCAGAGCGCATGTGCTGCTCCAGATGGCCATGCACACAGACACCAGCTCTGATCCTCATTTACTTTTTCCACTTTGACATTTATACTCCCCAATTGTCTCAAAGATTTATGTGTGAAAATGCCAAGCCACAGAGTTCCAAACTTTGTGTCTTCTCTCCCCTCTCTTTCCTCTTCACTGAGCGGCCCAGGCAGGGTAGCCCACTCACCACAGGCCCAGCAGGAGCTCTTGGTGCGCTCCATGCCAGCTCTACAGGGGAGCAGAGTGGCTCGCTGAGTTCCACATTTTAGGACTGGAATCCCAGAGAAGGCTGCGGGCTTGCCCCAGGAATGCCTCCTGACCACAGCCTCAGCCAAAGGCGCTAACAGCTAGCAGGGAGCAAGCAAGAAAACAGTTATCTGCTTGAAAAGGGAAAAGTGGAAGTGTCAGGCATTAAGGCTTACAAACTGGAGGATTCTTTGTGCTTGTCAGGCCCTTATTCTGTGTGAAAGCTCAGTGCCCTCCTGGTGCTTCTGGACTGACATTTGGTGCAGCCAATCAAACGCAGGTCTTACACACACTGACAGTGAGTTTGATGTAACTCAAATCATATAAGTGTAATGAAGTATGAAGATATCATGACTTAGAAAACAAGATGTCATTAAATGCCATTCAGTACAAACATTATACTATGGCTGAGTCAAAGTCATCTTGGAGAAAATATTCAAACAAAACTGTATTTTTGTAATCTTTGGATAATTATGTGCAGATAAGATGTTATATCAGAAACAGGATGGCTGTCTTGTCTCAATCATCTGCAGTAATGACTCAATTTAGTCTGGCTCCTGTTCTTTGATAGATGCTCTTAACAGACAGAAGATCACTGCTGGAGTTGGGCCAATTTGAAGAAACTTAAAAATCTCACACCACATTTTTAGCATTACAATTATTGTGAAAGAAATGCTGAGATTTTGAAATTCTCCCAATTACCAACAAATTATGCACAGAAAAATTAACTTTCACACAGTCTACCGTAATTACCATACATATATTATCATCTTCTGCAGCCCAAATTCAATTCAAAAACGTACTTTGCTGGTCCTTTGCATGCATTCAGAATTTATTACTATTATTTTTTTTTACTGATATTTACTTTTTATGATTATATTTTTTCACAAACACATATACATAAAATTACTATGACATTACTATGACATGAGTGAGAGTTTAGACATGTAGTTATCGTCTTGTGTGGTCGTTTATTCTGAATTTATTCCATTACCTTAACATCGCTTGTGGTAAAGTTGACTAACCCTGACTTGCAATTCAATGGGACACCCCCATTACACTCACCATGGCCCTGCTCCACTTTCCTCCCTCTAATCCTCTGTACACACTCCATAGATTTGGAATAGGCTCGTGTTGAAATAGGCTGTTGTTTTTGGCTGTCTTTCTCAGAGCATATGTGTATATAGGTAAGAACAGGAGCAGGGCACGGGGGAAGTCCCATGAGCTCATTGTCTTCCCTGATAGTGGAGCTACACCTACCTGCCCCATCTACAAAGTCACTATAGCAGTAGGGTGGTCAAAAGTATAAAAAAAATCAGATACTACTCGATATAAAACTAGTATTGTATCATTTGAACAAGTACTGATACTAAAAAAGTCACATTCACAGAAATAAAATCTCAAGATCATTCTAAAGCTATTCAAGTTGTATCAGAACCAATAAAAGACCACATAGATTAGTCCATGGACAGTGGTGGAGGAAGTACGCAAATTTGTTACTTAAGTAAAAGTACAAATAATGGAGTAAAAAAAAATCTAAGTAAAAGTATCGCAAGAAAAAAAAAAAGTTAAAGTACTCATTTAAAAATCAGCTTTAAGAGTAAAAATCAACTGTATTTTGTGTAGAGTTTGAAATCCAAATACCCTTTTTTTTTACTTAAGTATAGTATTTAACTAGGGGTGTAACAATAACGGAAATATTGTGATATTGTATCATCAAAGCTCTCATGGACCACCACAATATATCGAATTACAAGTTTCTTTGCTTAAATTAAGAGTTATGGTGAAGAAGTTGCTAAAAAAAGACAGAGAGAACTACATAGACCATGATGCTTTGCTCCATTTCAGTGTAGACAACATGAAGAAATGACAGTTCTAAACACTTTTAAGTCTTAGTTCTTTGGATTAAGTCTTGTGAAGGCATTTAAAGAGGAAAAAGTTGCATATTAACAGTTTAAGATGTTTAGCCTCCACAAAATATCGCAATAAATATCGTACCGTGAGATGTATATCGTGAAAATATCGTACTGAGAGATTTGGATATTGTTACATCTCTAATTGTGAGCTTTCCCATGATATCACAATAAATATCGTACCTTGAGGTTGATACCTAACAATATCATATCGTGAGACTTGGATATCGTTACACTCCTATACTTAACTACTTTTACTTCATTATTTTCCACTACTGCCCATGGATCACTATGGAGCTTACTTGAACACAAATTAGGGCCACATGGTAATTTAAAAGAAGGTACTATTATTTCATGCTGAAATTCTATAGTCTAAATAAAGAGTGCTTTTTATTATGATCGAGGTATCGATATTGTTACTGAGTACCAAGTGTATTCGTTAGTATCGAAGTCTAGTTTGAAATGTGAGTATTGTGACAGCACTGCCAGGGAGTGTCTAAGAGGCGCTCGAAAACATACACAAATTTTCACCAGAGCAAAGCAAAAGATAACATATAAGACATGTTTTCATTTCAGAAGCCAGGAAAATGCCAGTGGTCAAATTAAACCCATATCACACATCACATTGTTGGGGCACGGTGACACTTGGATGAGTAAAGCCTTCCAGAAAGCCCCCCTTCCCACACACATACACACGAGAGTTACAATGGCCTGAATCATTCTTCCAGAGAAATAGAACAATGCGATCTTTCTTACAAATGATCCTGATCTTTATTACACAGTGCTATTTGTAGTTGAGAGTGTTTACAAGTATCAGAGACTGAAGTAAAACAGTGGTGAAGTATATACATGTAGTCATTTTCAGGCAAGTACTGAGAGAAAAGATTACAAGAAACAGGTTTCTTTTAACATATCTTCAATTCTGGAAGGATGCTGGAGGCTGTTAAGATGTAAATGTACTTTTCTGCAAGTCTGCATGAAAAATAGCATGTTTGAAATGAGAAAAGGGTACTGTAAGATGGGATTCAAGACTGGATACAGGTTATATTCGTGGGTTTCTGCTTCCAGTTATATAGTGTCATTTTAAGAATGGTTGGCAATTGAAAATATATAAGATTTTGTTTTTAAATTGTGAATTGCTATGGCAACGACCCTAACTGTTCTTCATTTAGAAACCTAGATATTGCATCGCTATGTCGTTGAAAATTTTTTGTTGATATTTGGCACTTCCCTAGTCTCTGTGCGCCCTTTTGGACCAAGTAAAAAGGAAAAACAGAAATACAAGAGTAATTAGGCTAATGTGGATGTATATTTGCACAAGAATCATGCAACAAATAATTTTATAATCCCACATAAATATATTCCGTCACAGCAGCTAGAAAAATATCTAAAAAAAATCCATATCTGTATAATGCAAGCGTTGGCAGTAGTAATAGTAGTACTTGTAGTGGTTTCTAGTTGTTCTAAGCTGGTACACACATTACTTGTACATCTTCTACATCTAAACCTCTTCTCCTTTTCAATACTTCATTAACAGTCATTATGTACAGAAAATGGGTCTTGCTGCACTGCATATTTGCTGCCACTATCAATAATCAAGTGAGGCGTATTCTCACTTAAGTCTATACTGCCCTCTAGTGATTGAAATCGAGGAGTAATATTTATTGTGCAGGCTCAAGAACAGAGTACATCACATAGATTTTGTTTTGATCATATGGCATTTTCAAAAAAGAAAATGTTGATCCAGCTGTGTTTTCAATTGTGTTTTTGAGTCAGTGATTTGGTGCACCTTACAGCACCTTTCTATATTAACTTATTACTTAAAAACCCTGTAATAGTGACCCTGAGCAACTGAACTACCACCTCGTCTGCCACTTAAAGGTGCATTGTGTAACTTTTCTGGTGGAGAGTCCGTGTAACAAACAGGCTGGTTTGTTACCCATAAGTACACTCAGCACCTTCACCCTTCACTAAGACACTTTAAAACACTGCTCTTTTGCACATATTACAAAATGAAATTGCACATAATTGGTTTTAAAAATTATTTGTCTTTCGTTTTACCACTTTTAATCCTGAGGCACAGTAGCACTTTAATTGAAAGCTGCTGGTCCCTGGAGGAAAAGGAGACATAGTTAACCAAATACCTTTTAAATTGAATTAGTGCAATATATGGTGCAATATTTCTGTTTTGAAATGTTTTAAGTGTTGATGTGGTAGTGTATTTTGTGGTGTTTTAATGGATGGTGTGGTTCTGCTTTTTACTTTACCTCCTTTATACCTTCTGTCCAGGTCCCTAAAGAGTCCCCCTGGAAACTAACTCCCTCTTTTGTGGTTCCAGGCTGGACCATGTGTATTATATTGTACAGGGGTATTAGGTTTGGTGTTTTATTGGTTTATGGGTTTTAAAGTTTGATTGGTGTATGGTTTTAGGGTTTTTATGTATATAGTTTTAATAGTTATTTGGTTTTGGGTTTATTTTATGGAGGATTAGATGAAGATTTGAAGATAATGATAATTTTACCATCCCTGTTTTAGCTGTAGTAGTTTTATCCAATCAGTGAGACCAGGATAAAAGGCGCCTCTGTACACCATTCTGTGTTCTGCTGCTGGAGAGGAAACTGTTGCCTGCCTCCATTTTACACCTTGCACTTTTTGCACTTGCACTTTTTGTAATGATAGAAAACAAAAAAGTAAACTGTGGACCACTGCTTCACGTCTTTGTGTGGATTTTTAAAAAACCTTACTCACTGAACTCCAACCCGCTCAAGGTCAACCTACATCGCAGTCCGTCAAATGCTTTCCTCCATTGAAATGTTATGATAATGATAATGTCTGGAATGTTTCACTGTATGATAATAAACCTTTCTATTTTCATGGAAACCGAACTAAACTAAGTTACAGACCAGATTTGTTGAGAGGCGGCACCACTCACAATCAGAATGCCTGGTTTTCTATGTATTTTCGAGCTATTAAACCAATTGTAATTGAATAAATGTAAAGTAGAGGCGTTTAATGTCTGTACTGTGGAACATTCGAAGCAGAGCAATGATGGATGAGTGTTGGAACCCTAATGAAAAAGTTACACAGTGCACCTTTAACTTAAACTATATTTTCACTTTTACTGCCATAAATTACTTTACATTTTGTCAAATCAGCCAACACTAGCATACAACTAGGTATATATTTGATATAGTTGATAAAACCACACCTACTACTTTTAGGCAAACTCAGTATCACTCCAAACCAGAGTAGGCTTCATTCCTCACACTGGGTTGAGGCTGGTGATGTAAGCAGTGAAAGTTCCTTCAGTGTCACGCAGGCCCCGTCAGTCAGGTCTGAGCCAGGTGAAGGCAAAGATACTTCACATACCTGCATACCATCAACTGCACGTAACCACACAGCAATGAATTACCTGCTTCCCCCGTTTTACTGTGAAAACAAGACATTACCACCTATTGTACAATTATGGAAGAAATGGGCAATAATGTGAAAAGATGCAAACTGCTACATATTTACAGAAATGAAGCAAAGAAGTTTTCCAGACGTCTGATAGAATAGGATCTTAGGTTAGCATTTGAAACAGTAAATAGTGAAACATAGCAAGGGCAAAGGGTGTTTTTGGTTGTACATTTTTCTAACGTATTTCCAGCTATTTATAAATGCTCCATTGTGAAAAGTAATTGTGTTGCATAAAAGGATGAGCCTGAAAGTGAGAAACAAGTCGCACCAGTTCTCTGCAGAGGACTTGATAACCATGATGGGAATGTTGCTTTAATTCAGAGATGACACACTGAACATAGAAGAGTCTATTAGAATGTACTCAGATATAATGTGTTCAAATCACACACGTATGCAAACAAATGCATATTCTCAATAAGTTTAGCAAAGCTCTGCCTCCCCCGCTGTTTTCACGTAAGCAATAACTTCATTCACTTCAACTGCACTGAATAATAGAAAACTTTTGTAAAATGTTCATAAAGTAAAAAACCTGGGTCCTTTATATGTGACCTGCTTTGGCAGTATGTAGAAAGGACGAAGGTGATAATCTATACTAAATTAAACATTTTAATTAAGCAGCTACATTTTAATTAGCATCAATATACATTTATGTAAAAGGTTCGAAGCTCTGAGTATTTTGATTAAAGAATTTACAGATCGTTAAGTAAGAAAAGTTATGGTATTTACATTATGATATAGAATTGTCTTTATAATGCTAATTTATATTTAAAAATATATTTAATTTTTCCATTTGTCAGTGAGTTCATTGTAAGTCTTTCATTCAATCTCTAAGTAGCCCCAGTTTCTTGAGCGCCTCACGCCTTGCTTCCTCGCTCTGCCCCCGGGGGCAGATGAGCACACTGATGCCCTGAGAGCGTGGCAGTTTCTGGGAATTGTCAGAGTGCTGAGAGCTGGAGGGGCCAGGTTTTCCACTGCCAACCTCTGTGCTGGCCACGCCCCCAGCTATGGCCACACCCCCTGCACCGGAGAAGTCCTTCTTGCTCCCCAGAGAGGCCGGGCGCGGGCGATTGTTACGTAGCTGCCCTAGAGTCTGTTTGTCGTGCTCCAGAGACTCCATGTAGCTGCTCAGACCCATCCCTGAGCGCTCCAGTGTAGCTGACTTCACTCCTCCTCCAGCTGAACACAACAGCTTCTTGTTCAAAAGAGGAGAATCCCCCGCAAACGCATCATCACTGAAGGCAGTGGGCACTGGGATAATGTCAGGGAGAGGCTCAGATGGGATGTGAGGGGAGGGGGTCTGAGCTGGGACAAGGGTGTGTACAGAGGGCACTGGTGAAGCAGACTTAGGAGAAGTAGGGCTGAGAGGAGAGGATGCCCATGATCTTCTGGTTTGCACAGATTTATGAGCAGGGACTGAATCATACTCTTCACTCTTAAGCAGACCAAGTTTCCTCAAAGCCTCCATGCGCACCTTCTGAGGGTCCATCAGCCCTGTCGTGCTCGGAGAGAGATGTCCCACGGAGCTCTCGTGGCCTGTGGATTTGTGGGATTTCAGGATGATATTTGGAGGCAGCTTCTTGGGTTTGGGAGCAACAGCAGGTGGACTTTTAGGCTCAGATGGTCCTGGTGGAGCAAGTGTCTGGGGACTGGAGGGGTGTGAGGATGGAGCAGAAGACAGCTCAAGGGGCTTTTCCAGAGGGGTGAAGCTTGGGGAGGCGAGAATTGGAGAGGCAAGACTTGGAGAGGAGAGACTTGGAGAGGCGGGGCTTGGAGAGGAGAGACTTGGAGAGGAGAGACTTGGAAAGGCAAGACTTGGAGAGGCGAGGCTTGGAGAGCTGGAGCTCGGAGAGGCAGGGCTTACAGGGACGGGGCTTACAGAAGAAGGACTGATAGGGGCAGGGGTTTCAGGGGTGGAACGAAGAGGGGTGGGGCTTGATGGGGCACTTGATGAGGTACTCTTTGCCGATACTCTCTGTCTTAGCACCTCTAGCATAATCGTGGGCTTGGAAACAGGGGAAGACACTGCACTGTCCATCTGTGGAGAAGTGGGAGACTCTGGTTCATCCATGAAATCCGATGGGGGAGGGATGAAAGCCAGGTCCATTTCACCGGGAGGTTTAGCAAACAGCTCAGCCTTTGCAGCACCGCTCTGAGGGTCTACGTCAGCGGATAAACTGAGCTCTGAGCTGTGTGGAGCAGGGACAGGCGTAGTACTCCCGGAGGTGGGTTCTGAAAGTGCACGTACGGGGTCTGGGGGGATGTGGTCAGGGACTTCACTTAGATCAAGAGCAGAAGTCTGTGGATCTGGGTTGGCGGATTCACCGGATGCTTCAGTTCTGCATCTTTCCACCAACATACTCAGAAGATTACTAGGCTCGGGTAAAGTCTCTGAGCCGCCATGTTTCCTCCTCAAATTAGCTGCAAGAAGAAAGAGAAGCAGTAACATTAGCACAAGAGGATAAAAGCAATACATTTTAATTTTAGAGCTTGAAATGACTGTGACAGTTGTTTAAGTGTTCTAAAGAAAATGCATTGGTACAATGATTGACACATAAATAAATAGGAAACATTTCAATAATTAGAAAGGAGCAGAGCAGAATAAAACATGTTTTTTAAAGATTCTTCTATCATCCCTAACTTGTAACTACCTGGGTCGGGTTCATCGTTGGAGAAGCCACTGTCCTCCTGTAGATCCAGAGACTCAATGGTTTCTTCCAGATACATGAGACAGGCCTTCTCCTCTGCAGACAGGTGCTCCATACTGTCCTCACTCTGTGCAAGGAAGAAAGAAAATAACTTTGAGAGAAGACTCACACCAACTTACTTCATAAAACAAAAAATACTTTATTGTCCATATGGCAGTGTGAGTGTAGCAACCTGTCAGGAGCTGTGAGCAATCGCCCATTGTGCATGTTTCAAGTTGGTTAGTTTTCAGTGCTTCTTAGGGACTTTGCATCGACTTTCATTACTTTCCTAGTGACTGAATCTAACTAGAGTCACTGCTTGCCAATTTTGAACCTAAACAATAACCTATTTTAACTCCGACACACAAACAATAGCCCTGTTTCAAGCCCTATACAAATCAAACTTTCTTGAGACTTTCTTGTTATGAGGTGAGCGAAAAGGCTAACCACTCCCTCACTGTGCTGTCAGTTTAAGGATCAAATGTAAAGAAATGTGCTCATATTGTTGGATGTCTTCCCTTGAGGTTTGTGCACACAGGTGTCAGGTGAACAGATCGACAGCTTCTTCCCTCGGGACAAAAAGTGCCCATCATGAACCCCCCCAGGCTTTTTGACGAACTGCAGCCCAGGTGACATAACCAACTAAACCTTATTACGTAACACTGTGTGATACAATGCTAAAGACAGGTGCACATGTGTCTGGACCTCTTGTTATTACTCTAAATTTAAAAACAATAAAATTACACATGGGAATGTATAATATTAGAAAGAAAATGGCCTGATCATTGTTACCACTTGGAGGTGAACTGTGCTTTTTTGCTACCTGCTTGACTCCATGGAGATGTTACTGCTTTGCCTGAAATGGCCCACAATATGGCATTAAATTGATCTCTCTCCATGAAGACAAGCAGGTGACGCCACCAGATCGTGTTACAGATCAGGTCTGTGTCCAGAGTCCACTCACAGTAAAATCGGTATATTCCACCAGAACAGTTACTTAGTACATTTTTGAATAAAACAGTATGATTACCAGTAAATAATACCATCACTGTTGCTATAATGTTATAGAATTTTTTTTTTTTTACCATTATTACTAATATTCATGGGTTTCAGTCAAAAAATTCCTTCCTGTTTTGAAAGAATTGTTATAGCACTGGTCCTCTGTTGTTATAGCAATAATACAATTAAAATCTAAATATGACATATTTTGAATGGGGAAAGGTTCTTGCAAAATCCTTAAAATCAGGAAGCAAAAATGTGTCTGAAACCAATGAATAGGCAGATTAAAAAGGAACATTACTTTTAAAGTTTTGGTTTCATATGGACAGGCCAAGTAATTTTGGCCTCTTTATTGATTGAATAAAATTTGTTTTCTTCATGTGAAGGTTCTGGATCTTCAGTCTACCTGGCTAGAAAATTTACTTAATGGGACAAGTCTCTGTTGGGGGACCTTCATAAGGGTAACTGCACTAAAAATGACCTTACACAGAAATCTAACCCTCAACCTTCTTGCTGTGAGGTGCACCTTGAAGTTGCATAAATATCAGTACACTCACACAGGCAGAGTTGATACTGATGACACTATCACAGCTGCGGGCAGTGTCCATGTTACTGATAGTTTCCACGGAGACGCCACGAGGCCAGGTGTCACTGTTAGGCATCTCACTGAGCGGACATGCACTCTGCACTGGGCTCCTCAACCTGGAAGAAGAGGAGAAGATTTGTAAAAAAAAAAAAATTTTATCAGTATACAAGTTAATTCACAAAAACAGATAAGCATTATTAAAGAGGAGTCATGCAATTTACTCTTTGCACTGCTGTGTTTTCAAAAGCCAAGTCAAAAGTACCATGTAATGTCTCTGGTGGTGGTGCCCCTCAACTGCGCGTTTCCATGGACTATTGCTTTGCCTGGGCTGTTCCACAGTGTGATATTAAACATGTCTATCTTGCATTTATTGAATTACAGGTGTTTTAATGGCTTCAAAATATCTTGGAACAAAACAGTCTTACTGTGAGCAGACTCGCCTCTCCACAGATCTGACCTGTAACTTGCCTGCTTGTCACTACAGTGGTCAAGACAGGCATAGAGTATAAAAATCTCCATGGAGACAACAAGATGATGGATTCTCTATCAGAAAAGCTGCATGCATAAAGGTATGTTTCGATGTCCTCTTTCATTATATATGTGAAGAATGGTAACTAAAAGAAAAAATATATATATCTCGAGAACTTTGAGGCCTCATGGAGAGTAGGTAGAGGGGAGTGTGGTTTGCAGTGCATGTGGAGCAACATAAAAAAAACATATATATTTTTCTTATACTCTTAAATTTAGTACAAACTATTTTTATTGGAATGAGAACAACAGGAGCTAACCACGCAATACAAACTACACCAGCTGACAAACAACCTGCGTCATTTGGGTCATCTGTGCAAACTAATCATTATATAAATTACAACGGCAAGCAAGCAGCTTTTTTATGAATCGACTATGTGCTTTTCAGTCTCAAACACACATATTTTGAGAGTTACGCAGGACATTTGTGAGGACAGTTGATATGTGGTCTTAGTCATGACTGACACACGTTTCCTGCTCACTGCACCCTAACTGACAGCTCTAGCATGTGAAAAACAACCAACAAACAAACCACACTCATGTACTGTGTGCAGTTTTTGAGCTTAGGAGTGTAAACATATAAAAACAAATACGGCAAGTGATAACATAAAATGAGTGTATATTTAAAACCAGGTCTGTGTAACATTAGAATTGATATTTGGTAACTGACGATATTTTTGACACAGCAGTTCAGATTTGGATAAACTACTAACTGCTAAAGTGATATATAAGAATCACATGTATTTCATATTATACTTACTCTAAATGAACAGATTAGTATTTAGCTGCAGAGTTAACCCTGGCAATGCTTCTGCAGCATTACCACAAAATTATACAACAGAACTAATAACAGGCTTTGTGTAAATTCAGATCATAATTTTGTAATGTAGGAAAACCTTTGGCTTTATCTAAATTTCAATAAGCGGTTGCCAATGAAAAAAATGTTTGGGGACCATTGTATTTAAATCCTATTAAAGATGCACTATGTTTGGTTGGGGGTCCATTACCTGCATGTTTTTCTAGTCTTTAAGCCAATGATGTTCATTTTGTCTTCTTATATACTTTAACTTCTTAGGTTCTTTTTAAAGACAATGCAGTAAAGTGTATTTACCTTGTTGACATGTTATATATATATTTCTAGTCTTTGCCTGAAATGTTCCATATATTAAACAGCTCTACCTTGTACATTTATTCAATTTCATTTAGTTTTATAGCTCAAAAATACTTGAGTTGAGGTTTGGTCTCCATGAAGTTAGAAAGTTTCAATGCCATACTGTGAAAAATTCCAAACGAACCAATAACATCTCCACGGAGAAAAGTATTTAACAGACGCTCCACCAGAAAAGTTACAACATGTACCTTTAACAGAAAAAAACACAATGTCCTAATAAAATTCACAATTATAAAGTAAGACGGTGTGCAGAATTTTCTGTTTCTGTTCTCGGGCTACTCCCTCTTACAATGTATCCGTTCCAAGAAATTGATGTGCGAAGTCCTCATTCATTTATTTAAACCCTATTAAAAATATTTTCTTTTGTCAAGCACATGCCATTAGTTAAGCAAACAAATAAAAAGAGGTGACCTAATTTGTAACAAAGGTGAAATAGGTCTAGGGTTAGTCCAACCAATGCAGGACGTAATGTAACTGATAATATCTATAGGCTTTTGTACATAGCTCATTCATCACGTATGCTTTCTGCGCAATCAGATCCAGAGGGAGTTTACTGACGCGGTGAGAGTGGTATTGTTATCTCAGCGCCATACGATTACGCCTTCTCTACTGTTCTTTATGGCTGCGGGGTACTCTTCATCTTTGAACTGACTCCTGTATCAACGCTCCATCAGAGGAAGGATTTAAATACAGTAGTGAAAGATAATGGTAAAGTAGTTCTGAAAGCGGCGCGGTTATGAAATACTAAGAGGAACTAGTTCACTTTTTCTGTACTTCATAAGAGAAACTTCTGCATTGTGGTTTTTATCAGTTAGAAGGTGCAAGGCCTGTCACGATGATTATGTATTGATTTATCATTCAATACATGATAGCTTTGATAATATATTTTTGGGTTCATTATTTATCACGTGTACATTTTCTTTGCATTTTGTTGTAATATGGAAACAGTAGAGGGTTGAAAATATAACTTCTATGGTCATTTCATAACTCTGTAAATCTATTCATTTACTTTTTGGGTGCTTGTTTTTTTCTTTTCTTTTTTATTGTAATATTTTGGATATTTAATAAAGCAATTTCAGTTTTATAATGATCCTTTATCGCACAATTTCTCTGTAGCAATATATCATGCTTAAAAATGTGGAATTGTGACAGGCCTAGAAGGCACGCTTATATAATATTTGAATCTAATAATAGCACACACTTTTGTGGTAAATTGAATAGTTTACATACTTTTTCAGTTTGGAGCCATAATCAGTTATCTAATTTTGTTGAATAATCATGACCCAGACTTTGCAGACTCAAAAGGATGTGATGTGCAAAGGAAAAGGACGCAGACAGGGCAGTAATTACATTAAAATTACACAGGAAACACAAAATGGTGGTTTGTAAATTTGTCTGTATATTGTTTTAAGATGCCAAATGATATGCAAAATATGTTGACAAGAGTCAACTTGAATGTGTTGCAGCCGGTGATCAATCAGTATGTTTTTTTCTCATGACCTTTTTTTCGATGCTTTTGACTCCAGAAACGCAGATAGTTTTAGGCCAATATAAAGGTCAAATTTTAGTGTTTCCCTCCAATCATGTAATTGAAATGTCTACAAACTTGCTGTCAGCTATTTTTAATCATAAACCTGTAACAGAGCTGTGTAGTCATCTTTTGTGGACTGATCTCTTCGCACTCAAGTGTTCAAGTGAAGGATTATGTGTATTCTTTAGGTCTAGTGCTGGAGCTTTAAGGACAATAGCCATTTCTTTAAAAAGTGCAAATATCGGCCAAATATATTTATGATATAGTTTCTGAAGGACTTTGACTCAGTATGACTTCTGTAAAGGTCCAGTTCTCTACCAACCACTGACTGAACTAATATTTACGCAGTTTTGCTTGCACAGACCTTTGACAAATGACTGAAATTATTACACCTGTCATCCAAGAGGCTTTTCCAAAAACAAGTTGGATCAAACTGTAGAAAATACATAGCTTACATGCTCTAAAAACATTACCATTAAAGCCTTTATGTAACAACCAACAAGGAAATACTGGTTTTGAACACCTCCAGTGACATTTGTGTACTGTTGACATAAACAGGTCAGAGAGGAGAGGAAAAACACACTCATCACAGCCTGCATTTACATGTTTAGTGAAAACAAAGGCTGGTAGTCAGAGCTAGAGCAGGACTCCCCAGAAAAACGTTTATTAGCTGTTAATTACTGTCCCTCCCATTAGACCTGAAGTTTCCCAGGCAAAGTAAACTTAGGCCAACACCTCTGCATAGCTCACTACACCCTGAGCTGAGTCAGGATTTAATAGGAGCAGGAATGCTACTTTGCTTGCTTACTGGTTGTTCTGCCATCTCTTATATTCGTGGAAAACTGTGATCAGATTAGTTGGAAAGAACTATCATTTATGGGATATGAAAATAGGGAACTGGCCTTTTATATTGTTGTTCCTTGAAACTATAACTACCCAGTGCCTACAGAGTTGATCATAAAAGGATCAAATATGCAAGGTATGTGACCAAGGCCAACTACAGTCAATGAAAGATTAATGATTAACATAAACATAAGATCAGAGCTTAAAGTGTTGTGCAATGTCGAGGCTGCAACAAAAAGCAGAAATATTCCATTAAAGTTTAGCCTGCTTCCTCTTTCTCCAATAGTTTACAGCTTTACGACAAAAGCATAGTATTTTTGCATAAATAATTAACCTAATATAAGCAAAGACACTGAAAAAAGCACAAGATCAACAGGTGGAACGACAGTAGGCGAACATCTAGGCCTAAGTTTTAATAGTCAACGATAAGAAATGAACTAGACATCAAATAGGGTGATAAGGCTATACTCAAATTAGCATTGGGCTCATCTACCGCACAGAAATAAAATGATTAGGTTATAAACAGAAAATAATAAAGGGTTCACTTACCGTACAGAATAAGGGAGTTGACTTGTGCAAAAGTCTATAAATCAGTCCATATGTGCGGTGAGTGACAGCAGACTCCCCGCCGCTCACTCTCTCCAAAAGAAAGTAAAGCCCAAGTGACACAACAGGTGGGAAATAATGGCATCCTGCTCAGCCAATGGCGTCCGTCAAAGGTTACGTTCGGCCAATCAGCGAAGGAGTGCGCCAAACGCCTTCAGCCAATCAAGAAATGATTTCGACGTGCGCTTCCTGATTGCGAGACGAAGAGAAACTATTCAGTGAATTTTAAACTATTTGTGAAGTCTTTAAGAGTATTACTGATTTCGAGTAAAGCACCAACGCTTTTTAACAATTTATTTTAAGCTATTTTTTGATTTTTATACCCCTTTTAGTAGGCTACATTAATTATTTTTTGTAATTTATTGTATTATATATAAATATATAAATATAAAAAAAAAATAAAAAAAATATATATATATATATATATATAACACATATATATACACACACACATATATATACACACACACATATATATATACACATATATATACACACACATATATATACACACACACACACACACACATATATATATATATATATATATAAACCTTTTTATTTGTTTATCTGTTAATTCACTAAATTATTTTATTTCACATTGCAGCACTTTAGAAATGGCTTTTGTTTGTAAAACGTGTTATCCAAGTGTTTCATAATGATGACAAATTAGGGCTGCTAACTGCCATAACGGTTAACAATTAAAAAAAAAAAACTAAAAAAACATACATCTAAAATGGGAAAAGTCCTTAAATGCTGCATATAACAGAAAGTTAAAACCCATGAATAGAATTAAAGTGGGCGATACATTTGAGCGTTCACTGGGTGCACAGGTGGACAAAGGAAAAAAGTGGACATGTTAGATCAAGTTAAATGTGTGTAGCTTTGCATGCTCTGTTGATTCATTAATGAGGCAGGTGAGGCAACGGGCTGATGCATGTGACCACAGAGGAATGTAAGAAAAAACAAAACACTGAAGATGTTTTCTAACTTTCTCATGTGCACTCATCTGTAACTACAGTCTGGAAAATTTTAAGTGGCAGCAAGAGCTCAGTTCATACGCATATCATTAAATTATCCCCTTTATTTGGGATCAATAAAGTATTATCTATCTATCCATCTAAATTCTAAATTACATGTAGAGGATTTGTAGATTGTTGTCATGGAGAAAGTGCTTATTAACAATAACAAGGAAATGGGTTTTGCCTTGTTTGATACTTTTATGTTTGCTTTTAGGGCTGAAAAATCACATACATCTTGAGTTTAATAATGTGCATATCAAAAACAAACAATGAGTCAGTCACAAATTACTTGAGCCATTTAATCAATGTACAATTATGAAAATAATCATAAAAAAGACTGGAAGCCCAAGATATGTACAATCTCTTTATGTGAGGTCCCTCCGCTGAGTCGCGCCCCTCAGCCTTATTTAATCACAGGGTATTTATTCAAGATATGTTTAACTCTGTTATGACATAATCCTTTTGTCTTTTTTGACAAATGTCAAAAATTACATACATACATATACATATAGATATCTATAAAATAAAAATCATTCAAGTATCAAAATACAGAGCACTCTAATCATTTACAATATTCATCTGATCACTGAGATCATCACACTAGTCCCAAATCTCTCCAGCTTTTTAGCAATGTGCAAAAGCTAAATGCGACCAGGCTGATGGTGCCAGTGTGAGCCTTCTGTTATACTGGCCTATGTACCATGACAGTATTTGTACCATAAACATCAGCTGATCAGAAGTACCTTTAACAGTCAACAAACTGAGACATCGTAGCCTATTGTAGTACCAGCCTGCATGGCAGGTTTAGTGATTAACTTTGTTTAGAAAATCTAAAGGAGCAGGGGAGGGAAGAACTGCAGTGTACCACGCCTGATCCAGTTTCTGCTTTGGGACAGGCTATTGTCGTATAAACAATTAAAATGTACAAAACTATTGTAAATCAAATAAAAGCCACCCTGTCTCAGATAAAAACAGTCTTTAGTGTCAGTTCCTCTGCCCATTGTCCTCAGAGTTTGTGCAATCGTACATAAGAGATCACAGTTACATGATGCCTTACACCAAACAACATGGTTCTGCTCAGAGAATATGCAACAGACGCAGGAGAGTTTGGACCATGTACCGCAGTGTTCACCTTTTCTCTGCTATATTGTTTGTACTGACACAACACAGACACCTCTGTTAATTGCCACTTCCTCTTTCTCAGGTTTTGCATTTCAAACCTGTTTGTACATCCTCAAATCAAATGAGTTTGTTAGAACGAATACACTGAATATATTATTTTGACTGTTGTCCATTGAACGAGTTCATGTAGATTGATGCGGCTCCTCTTGTATGTCCCAGCGCTGAAAAGCTCCTCTGCAGAAGTGGGTTACTGTTCCACAAATGCCCTACATCCATTGCACCAGGCTCAGTGTGTGTGGGAGCGGCCAGTGCTCAGCTACAGATCGGGACAACACACATGCACAGAGCAGGCCGGTTAAAACAACACAAGTGATGAGCACACACTACATGACTAATGGCACATCCATAAAGATTAACTTTTTTCAATGACGGTAAATGATTAACTTAACAAAACCAAAGGCAACGTATTTAAGCAGGTGACAAAAAGGCAGACTTTGTAAACTGAAAAGAGAAAGGATAGGTAAACAACATGCCCTTGAAACAAAGAGATGAAAGTGCTAACTCCAAACCAAATGTGAATCTCATTATGAGTAGAGGCCATGAATCAACATTATTTAACCTACATACTTTGGCTACCACACAGTCATTGCTACCAAGATATTAGCTACAGTTAGGCCACATCACAGTGCGTAAAATCATCAACTTTTTTGAACGCGAAAGACAGACGGAGTGAGGATTTTAGAATGTGATCAGTTCTAGTCCAGGAGGATTCACAGTTTCCCCGGTAAACATGTCCAGCCAAGCATAGAGAGAAGAGTAGCGGTAGTAGATGAATTTGCATTTCTCAGCTCAAATACAGTCAGTGTTTGAGATCAGACAGAAAAATATCAAAGTAGACGTCTTCTGGTGAATAACCCGGCGCATGAAGGAAAAAAGAAAAGTAGTCACGCTTGATTGCTTTGTTACACAAGAATTATTTTACATAAAGCTAAAGAAAGATAGATTGCGGATAGGCAGCAGGCTTGTCAAGGAGTAACACACATTGGAAGGAATTCAGAAGGTGCCAAGTTTTTTTCAGGTAGTTATTAGTAAAAAAGGAAGTGTTGGCGGCAGTTTTGTGTGAACCCAGCACCAAGTAGGAAGTAGTAATGGTGATTCAGGATCCAGCCAAAAGACATAGGTAAAGTCACATTGCAAAGGAAGGCACAGAGAAGGTGGGGTAGACCAGGAGAGAGCAGGGGCCGGTGGAGGTGCAGAGAAGGGGAGGGTCCGCTCAGAATATAGTGGTCTCGTACTTAGTGCTAATGGTGCGTTTGGATTCCTTGGGGTCGACCAGCCACGTGGAGCTGCTTTGGGACTGTGAATCTCCCTCCTGGTCCAGTTGTTCTCCCTGAAATTATAAGCAAAATACATTTCAGTTATTATAATTTCTAAGCATAATTAAAATTTTTATTCTTAAAGGTGTAGTAATGTAAGTTTTTTTTTTATTATTTGTGTTGCATTTTTTAAATTTTATGAATCAATCTACTCTGTCACTATGAAAATGCATCAGAGAATCATGTTTTAGTTGTATTACTTCAAACTGACAGGAGAGGGTGTAGATGTTAAGAAAAAAACAAACAATGGTATCTTTTGGTTACAGAGACATCACATTTAGCACAAGGGACAAGGACAAAATGCACAAGTGTAAGAAGAATCAGAGTAGGAAAGGAGTTTGTGGGCTTATCACATTTCTGATGACTTCCATAATTCAATTCAGTATCAAAAAGTGGTGGCATTAGAACATTCCTTTTCTGATTTTGACCAAAAGAATCTAAAAATATTATCTAGGTATTAAGCTTCATATGAATCAGAGTTGGTAAAAAATTTACCCACATACCTATTCAATTATTAATAAATTCATTTAAGGGTAATCAAGTTAATCAATTAGTAAAATGATTGTTAGTTTTATCTCTAGATTGTTAGCACATAGAGGACTAAAAACATTGAGTTTATGGAGGAAACAAAGTCAAGCATTTAGATTTCCTTTGATGCCTCTCTCATAAAACTACAGTATCAACCACCGCTTGCCATCTGAGTTTAAATTAAGTTCTTAAATGCAACATATGAGACAAGTCTTCAAATAGGCAAGAGATCAGAAATGGAATGCGCCAGGATATGGGAAGTGTGAGCAGCACCTGAGCTGCAGAGGAGGCAGAAGAGGCAGAGGGCAGCGGCAGAGCCGAGGGGCGGAGAGAGGAAGAGCAGGTGCAACAGTAACAGCAGCGACTGTCGAGAGGAGGGGAGTCCTGAGGGAGACATAGCACCACCAGTCAGACAAGAGAGAGAGCACCCATGGGACCAAAATGAAATATGGTGTCACCATTATCATCAATCAATCTTTATTTATAGAGCCTCAAAGTTCCCAAAGTGCTTTTATGATGCCCAAAATAAATGTGATTAAAGATAATATCACAATGATTATTAAAATCACTAACATCTTAAAATGATATTAATATTCGAATTTTACTCCATGTTTAAACAACTTCAATTCAGAGGTGGTGAGACTATCAAAAAATTATAAAGGAGTAGTGCAAGAAACACAAATGTTCCAATCATTTCATATTGTCAACCTAAGTAATTTGTCACTTGTAGAATTAGAGTTGGAAGAGTAGCCAAAACAGTTACTCAAGTACTGTGCGAGTACTGTTACTTCAATAATGATATTCAATAATATTACTCAAGTAGCAGTAAATGTGTACTACTACAAAAGGATTCTGAAATTAAATAAAAATTAAATAAAAATCTTTAAAAAGTAACTCAAGTAAATGCGAACTAATGTACTACCCACCTCTTCGTAAATTGGAGTGATTTGTCGTAAATGAAAAACAACAACAATCTAGAAGAGAGCATAATGCATAAGTAGATTTTTTTCAGCCCAATCTGGTGGTGAAAATGGCAATTATCTTTGTTGACAAACATAATAATTAAACAAAATGATTGTCTACCCTTCTTTTGTGACTATTGTTTATTGTCCCATCCCGATAAAGAGAGCAGCCGGAGGAAAAGAACAAACACAACGCACTGACACAGACAGAAGGCAGGTGTAATGCGAGCTGTGGAACATAAGGGTGTGAACAAGGGCATTAGAAAGAACTGAGAATACATGAGGTGAGGAGAGCGAGTGAAGTGATAAGACTGATCACGTGGTACACTCAGCTAGCACAATGAAGGAAGGTGGTGATTGTTGACCTAGTTTTATAACAGTAAAAGCTTTAAAAAATTGTAAAACTTCATATCATAATGTTGATTTAAGGTATTTTTCTTAAAACCATTAAACAAAACCAACCAACAATGATATTTTAAATGATAGATGCATAATTTAGATATTTAAAATGTAAAAAAACAGAACTAGTTATTTTTAAATGGTTTAGAGTGGTGCAAAGCTATTCCTCCATTTCCTTACTCATTCTGAGTATCCTAATTATTAACCACAATGACTTGACAAGTACCTTTCACAGCTATAAGAGGCCAGAGCAGTAACGCTAACAACAACTAGCATGCTAACAAGGCACTTTCTCATTTTCAGACAATAACACGCTTAATTAAATGTAGATATTACACAGCACAGATTTATGTTCTTGTATAAGAGCTGCTTATGCAATATTTGTAGAGGGGCAAGACAAATTTTCCTTAAATACAAAATCCGGACCTTTAAGTAGTGTGTTACTAATGTTACTAAAATATTCTGTCCAGTAATATGTATTCTTGAATTTTCCTCGGGATTAATAAAGTATCTGTCTGTCTGTCTATTTGTAGTGCCACTTACTGCAGATCTGCGTACACTGCCTCTTGGCTTTGGCACAGGTCGGGTGGACTTGGTTTCTACGATCTCGGCGGTGGAGGCCAGAGGGATGTTTTGGTGCTGTTTGGTCCGTTGTGCCTGCAGAGCGAGCTGATAGGCCACTTCAAACGCCTGGCCCAGCGTCAGAATAATCTCATAGGTCAGGTTCTAGTGCAGAGAGGAGGTCAGGTTAGAGGCAACGAAATTAACATATCAAAAAGACTGCTCGTGTATGAGGCAGATACTATTCATACTTCTGTGATGGAACAAGGTTAGTTATGTCTATTGAGATATAGACTCAAAACCAGAAAATAAAGCAGAATTTCATGGTTATTATAATATATTGTGATGTGAGAGCTACTGTGTCCAGATAATTTCCCTTGTGGATCAATAAAGTTTGTCCAAGTCTGTATTTGGTACCCGTTCCCAAACACCTTTACTGGTCTTCATTAATCTAGAATGTTTCATAATGTTTTAAGTTATATTTATTGAAAAAATGTACATGAATTTGTCCTTGTCATACATTCAATCTTTCACTTTTCTTCATACTAAATGATGCTTTACTAGCATGGGGTGTTATTCATTCTCTCCCCTGGTGGCAACTCTTATAACCACACACTGACCACAGTAACACCTATTTCATATAAGCAGGTGGGTAAGGTGTCTGCCTCAAAGTGGTGGAAATTCTCTACCAGCAACAGGCCCACAGTAGCTTTACTTTTACTACTGGATGTTAAGAGTTTTTAAGAAAATATTCTTACCACATCTACAGTGCTAAACACATGGCAGTAGTGGTGGTTGGTCTGTAGGTCTTTTGTGATGTAGGCAAACGTGCACAGGTCCTCTGGGTCCTGAGCTGCACATGAGATGTTTCTGATCTCATGTTCAGCAATGATGTTCTAGAAAACAAAACAAAAAATAAAATGAACAAACCAACAGATTCATGTGCGATCTCTGTTCTCCATGTTTGACTGGATTTGTTGAGTGGTAGAGCTTACCTTATTGGCTGCATCAATAAATTTGACTCCCTTGTATGTTATTGAGAGGACAATGGTTGGCACTTTTCTTAACTGCTCAGTTGATCTCTGAGAAAAAGACAACACAGCACAGTCAGAACCACAAGCAGTACTATTAGTGATTTTAAGTCTGTTTCAGTGGGAAAGGGAAAAATAAACCCTACCCTCATTTTGGCACATGCATCCTGGGTAGACTCTGTACCCCGCAGATCTTTGATAAGCATGGAACCCAGGTACTGCAAAGAATAAACATGTTCAAACACAGGACCCACATTATACATTCAGTTAATGCAGTAAATAAAACCAGGCTTACACTGGCTTCGTAGGCACAGGATTCAAATATGAGTTTCTCAGGTTGATGATGCCAGTTCTGTACAGGGGCGTACGGTGCTGCCAGGCTGGGCGGTCGGAGTGTCAGACGAGGTTCATGATACCGCTCTTCTTGTCTTTCCTAAAAAAAAAAAAATACAAATTTTTACTTCTTAACTGTAAAGTAGGGCTGAACGAAGTATATCAAATTGAAAGCATTGTGGCTAAGATTAAAATTTTTTATTTTAAACAGGGTCTCACTATTAAAACATAATCTAAACCTAACCATGTTTAAGAGTATTAACATTTGAGAGAAGATTGAAACATGACAAGCTGTAACAATACAAGAACCACATGAATTTCATTTGTAAAAATCTTAACCAGTACTGAGTCACCAGGTTATGAATAAGACGACGTGACATTCTGTTGTTCGAAGAAGAAATTACATACATATCATAGAACTTTACAATTTACAATTTGCCAATTCTGTCCCCAAACCTGAATAAAGTCTTAAATATTTACCTGTGGTCTTTGCCTATGTCTTTGTGGAACCTCGTAGTCTGCATCAAAACTTTTCTTTCTGTCTCCAGGTGGCAGCAGAGGATCCATGGAGTGTCCGGTGTAAGAGTCCAAATGACTCAGAGGAGATGAAGACTGGGAACCTGGCAGGTCAAGGCACTGCGGAGACGGGCAGTAATGCATATTTATCAGTATCCAATTTGTAGGCTGACGTTTACACAGAGCAGAGTATTAAAGAATGAAAAGTCCTTACCCTGATCTGAGAGAGACGTGGAGGTTTGACGGGCGGCTCCTCATACGGCCGTTCTGCTAAAGAAGCAATGATACGTTTCCTATGACCCAATAATGTGATCTTTAAAACCTGCAAAACAGAAAGATTTTAGCATGTAATCTTAGTCCAACCTGCCAGGCAACAAATATACTTTACTAATCTATACAAAGAAGTTTAGATGGGTTTGCCCTGTGTCAAAAAGTACGAAGAAGGAGTAAAAAACAGCACTGACTTCTATCAAATCAACAGGTAATGCACTAAACACTGTTACTCACAAGTGGGGTTCTATCTGAATGTATCATTATTCACAAATGAATAAGGCTGCAGAATAAGGTTGCAGATAAACAGTTACTAGCTGTAGCAAAACATTTGTTATAGTGTTGGCCTAATAGCATAATTGCCTAAGTAATTTTTTTTTGGCCAGATTGTGATATCTGCCTAACTTTACTCTCCTATCACTGCTGCATCACCCTGCCTTATTGCCTATGTTCTCAGTCTATCAGAATGCTTGTTAGAGTCTAAAATCACTGTCTGCCTTTGTCATCTCTATACAATAAAAAATACCAATGTGCTTGCTAAAAAATGTGTTTTTTTCTTGCTTTCTGAAAACGTTCAAACATGACTTAGGCAACTATGCTATTAGGCTAGATGAATTAGGTACCTTCAGAGAAGAATGTTTTTGTGAATATAAGAAAAATATGAATATTGAGAATATTGTTTATCATTTTACAATGCTGCAAAATTACCTGGTGAAAATAAAAATAAATGTGTAAACTTGTTAGTTCTAAACGAGGATATGGATTCTTGCGGGAGCGAATGTTACCGTAAACGCCATCACAACAAAGAGCTCTGAAGTTGTCGGCACCTCTGAGCTGCAGATCATGCTAGTGAGTAGTAAAGCTAGTAGTTTTGTAGCAAAATGCCTATGAACCACTGCCTATCACCGATTCAGAAAATAAAATAAAAGAACAAAGTAAGTACAGAGCAGTGGGTGTCTACCGCTGGCTATGAAAACAGGGCTTGATAGGCAATATGGTTTCTTATTGCTCATACACCTGCAGTTTGGTTTGAATATGTACAAATCACTCCAAATACATTTTCAAGAGAGTAGATGAGAAGGGGAAACAAGTAGAACATGGTTAAAGGTTGAAAAGTTTTTTTTTTTGCATAATAGGTCTGCTTTAACTTCTTGACTTGTGTCTCCTTGAAGTTGACTTAAATCAGACAGTTTTTTGGAGCAGTAGGACATTCATTCCCCTCTGATGGCCCGGATAGTGTCTGCGCTCCAGTGAGACTCACATTCACTATCTCCAGTTCCCACAGGTTTTTGACACAGTCTAAAGTGCGATATCCACTCGACAGGAAGTTCGGCAAGTACTCCTGAAGACCCAGGTTTTCCAGCCATGACGAGAGGGAGCAGCTGCCATCACAACCAAACACCTTCACCTGCACAACAAAAGACCAATACCAATTAATATAACATGAAATAAAGCAACATATAACTTAAAGCAGTTGTGAATAGTGGTTAGCATTTATACAATCAATATCATATTCGAAATGGGTTACAGCAACAAGATACTGTCAATGTAAAAAAACTAGGCAAGGTGGGTAAAGTGTCTTGCATAAGGACACGATGACAGTAGCCACTTCTGCCACACTATGTCACCTGATATTCCCACAGAAGTAAAGCCATTTTAAATGGGCTAGCCAACATGGGTATGTGATTTATACAATGTTTATACAATGTTGGACTAATACCTTTGGTAATGATCGCGCTGCGTGGAGGATTTTCTTGCGGTGGCTTGCGTCTGTGATCCCGATCTCCCTCAAGTCCTGGTCCTCCATGACATTGCTCCCCTGCAGAAACACCACATCTGTTAAGTGACTTCACATTTGCTAACAACAGAATCTTGTTACATGCTAAATCTATTGAAAAAAAAACTAAACCAATGGCATTCAAGGCGATACATAGTTTGTATTGATTAGAAATAACGCTACGATTGCAGAAAAAAGGTCAATTACACCTGGCTCTGAGAGACCTTGAGACCTTCCCACCCAGCGCCCAGCAAATGCAATGAGGAGGCCATGTCAATAACCACTCAACAGTCTTCAGTTTGTGGAGGAGGGGGAGTCGTCTGGGGAGAGGGCGGTCAAACTCCATCTTTGGTTACAAGAAGGATCACCGCGGAGACAGTGTGGCAGGTCATGGATAATGGAGACACAAGCAATAAATCAATGCAAGCGCCTGAAGACTGGTCAGCAATATGAGCTGGTTGGCTGGGGCGCTAAAGCTGACAGTAACTAACAGCGGGGGAGAGGGAAGCACCCCGCTATGTAAAGCTTTCAATGCTACATAACATTAACTTAGCAAACGAATGAGTTGGCAGTAAGGATAATTGAGTTTTAACTAGCACTATTAAAGCTCCATTAGCCTGATGGGCAGCGTGAGAAAGGTCATACACTGTAAAAAATACAAAGCGACATTCGTTCAAAATATTTATCTTAGTTCAAGGGATTTTTTGATTAATTTAGTTAGATTTTCTTATGAGAACAAGACTATGCGGCTTACAAAACCAAAAGTGTTTGTTGGTGAAGATTGCTTATTTCCAGTGTAATTTTGAATTAAATGAAATAAAGCTTAATTCAAAGCATCTAGGTTGGACAAACAGAAAATGTACAAAAAGATTAAGGTCCATCATCCTTCGGAAAACATCTAACTCAGCAACTACCTACAAATTACTAATTTTATGAGCAAATACATCAAAAGAACATTTTTAATTAATATAATGTCAACTATACTATAGATCTCAAACCATGTACCAAAAATATATTTGGATTTCCAAGCACCACCAGATCTAAACTTGGACTATGCCAGGCCTAAATTGAGTCTAAACAACACAGTCTAAAATGAGAGAAAAAAGAGACAGGCGAATAAAGAAGTTATAATAATTAATAAGTAATAATAAACCAAAATCGAAAAGGACAAACATATTCATTTCCCTCTGTATTACACATGCTACTCAAGATGCATATTGCCCTCCATATAACTAGAGGCAGCCCGCTTACCACAGTTTGAGAAACACTGCATGTAGATCTTTTTTGCAGTGTAATGTTAAAATAGTGAATGACAGTGGAATGTTTACCTGGCTCTTATAATGAAACACATGACCAGGAGCTAAATCTCAGCCTCAGGGACAAACGTGATGGTTCAGGGCTAACAGCTCGATGTAAAGCTCAAGGTAAAATGATGCTTACTCAACCATCCTATGTAATGTATACAGCTGGAGCACAGAGCTGAGAGCAAAGTAGAACACATTCATACACCTGGCCAGTACATTTCCTGAAAACAACAAACTTGAACTTACTGTAACATTTAATGAAAAACGTGTATGTTAATGAGACAAATATCAATAACAAATGCATAAAGAAATACTTAAGTGGTAATTTGATGATAACAATTTTAAAAATAAGCTATATTGCTACACAAAAATATCCAGTTGAAAGATAATATTAATATTACTTAAGTAAGTAAGTCTTTATTTTGTATAGTGCTTTTCACAGACATATGTCACAAAGACACTTTACAGAGCATTATTCATTCACTTCATACCCGGTGATTGTAAGCTACTATTGTAGTCACAGCTGCCCTGGGGCAGACTGACGAAAGTGCGGCAACCATGCCAATCTGTGCCATGGGTCCCTCTGACCACCACCATCACTCTCTCACACACACACACACCACTTTTATACTAGGCAATGTGGGTGAAGTGTCTTGCCTAAGGACGCAACAACACTTTTTTTTTGTGTGTGTTTGTGTATGACTGGTGCCCCCCTGTGGCACCTGATTTTCCCAGTGGTCTCCCATCCACGTACTAACGAGACCCAGTCCTGCTTAGCTTCTGAGATCTGGCAGGATCAGGCTTTGACAAGCCGGTATGGTCAGAGGCACAATAATAGTTTAAGTAGCTCAAGTAGGCTCAATACTACAAACAATGAGAAAAAAAAAATCCCTGCTAGTGCAAAGAAATGGTATATGTAATGTACCAGGCCTAGGAGTAATTGGATCTTTAGTAGAAGAAGTTCTAGTAATCATAAAAAAATGAATAAAAAGAAGCACTGTGTAACTTTTCTGGAGGACTGTTTGACACCTGATTGGGATTTAACACATCTATCGCCATACAGACAAGCACAAGGTGATGCAACCAAAACAAGCAACAGGTCAGATCTGTGAATTGGTGAATCCCACTCACAGTAAGAATGCATGTATTGTTCAGTAGCAGCTAGCTGTAGTTCATATCTCCAAAATTCCACTTCCAAATCTCATATCTCATTACTGTCATACTTTTTACAACCTTGCAGTGCCACTCCTACTGCACCCCTAGCATAAATCAATACAGTTAACATTTTAAATATATGCATTAGAGTTCCTTCTTGGAGTGATGGATGCTGAATGCAGATGACACAGGCTTCAAAATGGGGACAAATCATCGACACTCAAAATAACTGCAGAATATTACAGCCGGCTCTCATGCGCATTTCTTCATAAGCTTTAGACAGCATGACAGTGACAAATCAGTGGGAAAGTTGAGATTATCTGGTTTCACACTGAGACCCAAGACATTTTGACATCAACATAAATTATATACATACAGTACAACTAGTTCACTGTATAATATTTGGTTTTGTGCCTGGCTTAGCGCAGCCCATCCGTCTATGCTTTCCTCTGTCCTCTTATTAAAATGCAGAGCTCTATTTGCCCTATCCGCAGCACAGCCTCGGGAGTCCCTAAGGTTTAAAAAGCACAAAATCCAGGCCATAGTTTGAGGGGAACAGATCATTGCTTTTAACTTTCTGAAAGACTTTTATCAGTACTTTTAATAGACGCTTGTAGTACAGGCCTCGAAGGGACGTGAAGTAAAATATAATAAGGAAAAGTGGAATTCAATCCAAAGTTACTTCATGTGACTATTATCCAATTAGCAAAACAAGTGACTGTAGTAACAAAGTGTCAAATGATTGGTTTATGTAAAGGTTTTCTATTGTTTTGGTAAACTTGTAAAGAATTTATGGCATATGGAAAGGCAGAACAAAGTACTAAAAATTTAGTTTTTCAGAAATTTGTAATTCAGGTCCATAACAAGTCTATTCCACATCTAACCTAAGTTTAAATGTCTCCATGGAGATTGTTGTTACTTTGTCTTGGATATATTTAATACCATACAGTCAAACATTAATCTCCATGGAAACAAAAAAGTCATGCCATTAGCCCAGTTACGGGTCAGATCTGCAGAGAGGCGAGCCCACACACAGTAAGAATGCACGTAACATCCTCATACAAACAGACACATGGCAAACCTTCCATCAGAAAGTCTCATAATGCACCTTTAAACAGACATTAGAATTGCATAGGACCCCAAGTGCAGCAAGACCACTAGTGATACCCATACCACAGTTTGAGAACCACTACTTTAGAGTGCCAAGCCATAACAACACGAGCTAATATGAACTAACACACACACACATATGGCTAACTGGCCGTTGCTGTCTTGTCACTACCAATGTTGCCCAGTAAACAGTCCACTTTGTCCCTCTTCACTGGTCAATACAAATAATCTAATAGGTTTTGTATGATCGCTGTCCCTGCTCCAGCCTCCAGCCCTCTGCACTGACCGTCATTATTGATCTGACTGTGGAGCTGCAGGCGGCACATCACAGCAGTTTGTCCGGCCGAGTAAACACGCTGTAATTAGTCACCGCACTACGAGCTGGACACTGCTCACACACCACACTGGCACAGGTTCAGAACTTGTACTGTTTCAGGCTCTGTACACATTTGTAATAAAAATTAAAACAGAATAAATATAATACAAATATATCTTTTTTAAATTGTTTGTAGAGAGTCCATGATGGCAAGGGATGTATAAAAAAAAGTTCATACATCTTTTGCCATTGTTAATCCTGTGTAGTCTGTTCAGGCTTTAAGATTTAACTCTCAGTCTGCTTGCTGAGGGGACCTTGCCTGGCATTATCCAAAATTATATCTCTCAATAGTTTTATACAGAAATTTGCAGAAATCTGTGATGTTTTTTAGACCCCTGTGCTATTTATTTCCTTTCTTTTTTCATTGTAAGCAGCCATATTTGTTTTGATACAGACAGACCATGCACGTCCCTGATTCAAATAATTCACTTTCATCTGAACTCAAGTGAGATTCAGAGGCAGTGGCCAAGCTAAGTACTGAAGTGTGTATTCTGGATCTTAGGCAAGAGGAGCCATGTATTATAAATATGTAAGTAATGCTGTCAAGTGAACACCCAATAATAAAGGATAAACTGGAGTCCCTACACTGTGGTACCCACTGCTCCTGACAGATTGAACCAGCAGAATTGAAAGACGGGTCAACTGTGGAAGATTAATTTCATTATAAGGATCAAATAAGAAAACCCAAACTTTAAATATGAGAAAAATGGGTAAGGAATTGTTTTTAAAAGAAAACATGTGAATGGGTAATTGCGACTATAATACAATTAATTAAACCTTATGCTAAACACATAAGATCATCCTTTTGAAAGACAAGTTCCTACAAAAAGTTCCAAAAATTTTAGAGGAAGTTCGTATGTGGTCTCGAAGCCATTTAAAGATGAAAAATGAAGAGAAAAGTTGCCAGCTCTGTGCTTTGAAAAAGATGAGTGAGGGAGGAGAGAATCAGAGACAGCAGAAGATTAAGCCTCAAGATCGACTTCAATGGTTTGAGAGCAGAGAGGGGGGCCCAAATGTACAGAGTGTGGCTATATAAAGTGGATTAAAACTTTGTGCAGGTATTATTCAGGCTCATATCAGTCACGTACAGCCGCCTCAGCCTCTACAGAATGAGGCCGGCTGATTTAAGAACAGGATTATGTCTGGCTTTGACAGAGAATCCAACACTTTTGTTCAGTTGAGCTCTGTGGGAAGATTATGAACATGTTTGCAATTTGGAGAGTGAGAATGAACTGTAAAACTACACCTGAGTTTGCACAGATGACCAGTTTAGGTGTTTTAAACCTCTTTAAAGGTGAGCGTAACAGAATAGTCAGGGAATAGTCCCTGATTACTGCTCCATCTCCTCTGGTCCCTCTTCAGACCTGATCTCTGACAAATCCACAGGAGCAGACTGATGATGAGCGCTCAGGGCTGCAGAAAGCTCTGCTCTGTAATAACATCTCACTCCTCTTGGAGATGTTCTTCAGTATCAGATGTACTCAGCACTGGGCTAATGTAATGACTAAATGGAGACATGCAGTCTGATACTGTGGGGTAATCATGTCAAAGAATAAATTATTATAAATGAATATGGCAATATTCAAGTCAATTAAAAATAAAACATGGAATTTAACTATAGAATGCACGGTATATGCTGGTCATAGAATATGGGATGAAAAATGAAAATATTTTTTTTCTAAACAAAGAAGACTAAAAGTTCAGGTACGGACTCACCATGTAGTGCAGGTCGTCAAATCCATTGAGCAGTAGTTTGCTCTCGTACTGAGGCAGCCCCACGTGCTCCAGCCAGTCTCCCACCGGCTGCTCCAGGAGGCGTCCTGCACCTGTGGACAGGGGGAAGCGCTTGAGCAGAGAGAAGCCTTTGAGCCGATAACAGCGGCACTCGGACGATGAGATGTGGCATTGCCACATCATCCTCGGCCAACACAGCCGAGCACAGCACAGCGGCAAGGCAGACAGGGTGACTGAGGGGGCAGCACCCGAGGGACAGTGGAGACAGTGCAGAGGCACCCACGGGTCCAAACTCAAACACTGGAGAATACACGTTGTCTACAGCTAACACATCATACAGTTTGAAATATAACTCTGAAGAACTTTAAACTTTACTAAACTGAATAAGTCCAAGTGTAGACACAGGACCACACACAGACAGGACTGACAGCTGCCAGCAGATGTATCCTGTAGCACTGAGGCCGATGTCTCAAGCTCGATTCACAAGATACTAAAGATCTGAATAAAGCACTTCTTAGACTGGATCAACATAACTGCATCACTTGTCCATATCACTGCAGCACACACATTAGTCAGTCATTTTTCAAATCTGATTTGCAGATTATGTCTTCATTTAAGTAAAACAATAATCCATGTGTATCTCCGATAAGAAAATTCCACAAGAGTTTCAGAAGTAACTAGTCCTTAAAACAGACTCCTCTAGAGCTCATGCAGTGGTCCTGTTTTTATCCCAGGTCCTCTCAGGTCCAGCACAGGTCCAAAAGCAACCGTCCAGCCACTCCTTCAGAAAAACACAGGCTCACAGCAGCAGGGATGCAGTAGTGCCCTTCTATTGTCCTGACTGCTCATAATTCTGCTGCCTTCAACCCCCTCTCCTCTCTCCCCCTCCCCCTCTCCCTTTCTCTCCCCCTCTCCTCTCACTCGTTTCCCTCTCTCTCTCCCTCTCCCTCTCTCTCCCTCCACACACAAGCAGTTTCACTTCTTCCTCCGCCTCCCCGTGACACTGCAGGTGGCTGCTCCTCTAGCTTTACGTCACATACTAATGCTCTGACCATGTGAATACATTTTAACTTTGTTTTTGTCTTTGACTCTCACTTTAACATGTATTCTATGACTAATTACTGACAACTTATTGGCTGGAACAATATACGTGTACATATTTTATTTGTTAAAGTGGGAAGATCGAGGTATTTTTGTTTTAATACAAAAACAAAAAGGTTAAAGAGCAGACTTGGATACAGGTAATTATTTCATTTTGATTTGTTTATTTCTTGCAGCTCAGGCCTCTTAAAGACACTGTCTATAGTATTTCAGTAATATATTTTATCACGATACATCTCTGTAGCAATATATTGTGCTTCAAAATTTGATAAAAAGCTCTTGACAGCCCAAACATGATTGAAAACATTTAGAAAATTCATCTTAAGGCTAAATTTTATGCTAGACTAATATGATTCTAAAAACTGCAGTGGTCTCATCTTTCCTGAAGCTACAAAGCCAGGCGAGCTCATCCCCAGACATACGTTGCAGTAAATATTTAAACAGTCAGCTTCATCGCAGAATATAACAACCAGAGCACTTGTACAAAATACCACCATGTCTACTGCAATGCTTCAATAAATACAAAGGCAGTCTAAGCAAAGTCTATTCTAAAGGTGAAGGGAATAGAAAAACAAAAGGTAATTGAAGTCATTGCGGTCAGCATATATAGAGCCTAAACATATTAAGGCTGTCCAATATCATCGATTCCTATAATTATAAAAATAGGAATAGACAAAATGAGCTATACCTCTACACTTCTAAATATTAAAAAGGCATACCAATTAGGTGTGTGCAAAAAAAAAAAAAAAAAGTGAAGAAAAATTTTGGGGCTGTTGAGTATTTTTTGGTATCTTTTAGCAATTTTTTTGTGACTGAACTGCAATTTAGTTTAGTTTAGTTTATTTAGTGGAAGGAAACTGGCTTATGTAGTGGTTTAACAAAGAAATATTGTTGCTAAAATATATTTGGCTCTTTAAAAAAAAGCATTATATCACAGAGTAGCATGTGCAATATATTGATTATCGCCATATCTTATAATATTGTATTGTGAGGCATATTGTGTTGTGAGGGTCCTTGTGATTCCCAACCCTAATACCAATTGTCATGAACTACTAACATGAACATGAACTACTAACTAACTGGTCATGGTTATATCGCGTTACTACCTTTCACCCACTCTCACTTACAAGCACTAACTAATTCATACACCACACACTGCAGGCAAAGCAGTGGCACAGACTGAATGACTTGCATGAAAAATGTACTTAACTGCAGTTTTGTAGACTTGATTAGGTGTGTTGGACTCACAGTGCACATTTTAATTAGGAACATGCGCATTTGAGAGACACTGGAATATTAATTGCTAAACCAATACCAAATTTAATTTTTTGATCTTGACAAGAAAATAACATTACATTATTTTTTCATCAGATTTGATTAATCACTCGGCTCTTTAAAGGTGCAACTTTTCTGGTGGAGGATCTGCAATCGGCTTGTCTTCATCGAAATGACATTGCTTTGCCTGATTTTTTCTCCAGCACAGCACTAACTTCTCTATCCGTGGAGATGCCACCTAAACAAGTTGTGCATACATCTTTTTCAAGGGATTTTCATGCAATAAAAACCCCAGTAATTAAAATCAATGAAGTATAGATAAGTGCAATGTTATATTGTGAAACATTCCAGACAATGCAGTTATAGACAAGACCCCCAACCAGAAAAGTTACATAGTGAATCTTTAATGTTTTAATTAACTTAATGTCTTAATGCTTGTTCTAGAAAATACAACACAGCAATAATGATAGCAGTAGAGGGAGGGAGTCAGTACCTGGGGTGGCGTACTGCTGATCTCTGGAAAAATCAATGCCTGCACCAATCAGTGTCATGATCTTCTCAATCTGTGGGGAGACAGAGGGGGGTTAGAGAGTGGCACTTAAATGTCCTGGGATAACCTTCACCATTCACAAGAAAATGCCCGGAAAAACTCAAGAAACCACAATGCATATGGTTCCACAAGCTCACAAAAGGACGATGTCATGCCAGAGAAATATGTTAATGTTTTAAAACGATGTCCTCAATGGAATAAGCAACCTACTTAGATAATACACCCAAATTACACAAAGCAAAAACAGTTTAAAGATTGCACTGGCAACCCAAGTTATTAGTAAAATTTTACAGGCAATATATAGATGTAATAGATGCTAATCACAAATATTATGATGCTCAGTGTTTTTATTTCATTGCATTTAAATGTGCCGTGAAGATGAAAAAGCATTCCCAATTTGAAACTTGTCAGGTCTTTTATGCAGTGATATTATGACTGCAGCAATTTCCATAATGTGATTGACAGTGGAGGTGTTGTACTTGTCATCTACTGTCAATAAAAGACTTTGGCAATATGCAACGTCATTCTGCAAAGTCATTTTGGCAGATTGGACAATGTACAATAAAACCTGATCACTTTTTTACCCACCATCTCTGTTAGCTTGAGAAGAAATTATTTAAAATGTGCACTAACTTACTTTTCGCTCTCCATGGATATGTCATGCCTGGAAGCAAGTGATGTTACCAAGTTACAGTCAGATCTGTGGAGAGGCGAGTTTGAACACCTCTATTTGAATAAATCAAAGTTAGATAAGTTTAATGTAATATTGTGAAACATTCCAGGCAAAGCAATAACATCGCCATGGAGGCAAGACAATGGTAGACCCACCACCAGAAATGTTACAGTGCACCTTTAATATTCTGTCAGAGAATTTGTCACGACTAACACAATGCTGTTTTCAGAATGATAATCCTTAAAGAGAAATGAATAATCTTTGTCTAGATTATGTCATTTTAAAACAGATGAGAGAAAAGAATGTCTCCCACCGACGCAAATACCCCAAGAGGAGGAGAGTAAAAGATCCAAGAAAATATGTGTCTCTTACAGTGTCAGAATCAGAATCGGGACTCTCAGGTTGTGTGGTGAGTGGTGCAGTCTGTGTCTGAAGAAAGAGAATCTTTATATTTATGTGGGATAGACACCGCAGACAGGAATCAAAAGAACCTCAGTAATAAAAATAAGTATCTACTGCTATAAAAGTGATTAAACTATTTATTAAGCAAGACAGACTACAAAACTAGACAAAAAGAGTAGAAATTATTTTTAATTAATTGTCTATAATTAAAATATGGACACCCTATTACCGTCACAAAACATGCAACAATTTAGAAGCACATTCTCAATCAGAAACAGTGTCTGGTTTCATTCCTTCCTTCATTTATCACTATGCTCTCCTCTTATCCCATATCGACAAACTTAATGTCCTCTTTCACAACATCCAGAGATTTCCCCAAAGGCTCCTACCTGGAATACTGTCAACACCTTTTACTCATAGACTCATTTGTACAAACTTCAATATAGCTCCATTTTAAAACTTACACTATCAAGACATCATAAGATACTGTATATTATAGAGGACTATGTACTAGGGATGTAACGATATCCAAGTCTCACAATACGATATTGTCACAGTGTGAACCTCACAGTACGATATTTATTGCGATATCATGGGAAAGCTCATGATACGGTGGGAAGGCTCGTGATTAGGAATGTAACAATAAAAAAAAATAATCTCTTGGATCAATATTTTCACGATATACATCTCACGGTATGATATTTATCGCGGTTAATATGCTACTTTTTCCTCTTAAAATGCCTTGACAAGACTTAATCTAAAAAATAAGACTTAAAAGTGCTTGGAACTGTTATTTCTTCATGTAGTCTAAAATGAAATGGAGCAAAGGATCATGGTCTATGTAGTTTCCTCTATCTTTTTTTTTTTTTGCAAAGACACTTGCAATTCAACATATTTTGATGGTCCACGATATTATTGTGAGAACTTTGACAATACAATATCACGATAGTTTGGTTATTGTTACATCCCTAGTAGTTACTGATGTTTATTAGCTAGTGCCACTATAAAACAATGCATTTAAGCAAATGTTTTTGTAATTCGATATATTGTGACAGACCACGATATTATTATGAGACTTTTGACGATACAATATCACAATATTTCAGTTACATCCCTACTAAGTACATTTGATCATGATGGATTACCATCTAACTATCAAGTCTATCTTTCACTGTTTTGCAGTTGCCCCCAATTTATAAAAGAAACAAATGTTATAGTTTCAGGTGCAAAGGAGATTCAAAGCAGCAAGTGTAATTTAGTGAGAAAGTTAGCAAACTTGTTCTTATCACAAAGACTCAAACCACAGCTCAGTAGTTCCCTTAAGGTAAAATGCAGCAGAACTTCACGGTCCAGTGGTAAACCTATAACGAGGATTAAAAACAAGTGAAGAAAATGGAGTTTGTTTTTGTGCTTGGGGAGAGAGAGTCAATACAGACAGTCGTGAGATGGAGAGCAGTGTATTGTGGGGGAGAGACAAAGAAAAGGGGCAAGAGTCACTGAAGAGGTGCAGGTCAACAGCCGGAGAGCGAGCAGCGACCAGAGAGACTAAAGGCAAATCAATGTAGTTGTTGTTACTATGGGATCAATAACAAGATGGAAACTAATTTTAAAAGGAACATAAACTATGGTTATTCCTGTTGCCATTAGAATTCCACTTAGTTGTTTTTTAGTTAGTTAGGACCACTTCTTGGTTTGAATTCATTAGTATTTTTATGTTATTGCTGTGCCTGGAATGTTCCACAGTATGGTGTAAGTGCATCTTGCAATTAGTTAATCACAGATGAATTCTAACTGAGAGTAGGGCCGCTTCTTCACAGATCTAACCCTGCTTTTCTCCATTTTTAATACTGTAGTGTAGAATATTCCATGGAATGCAATGCAGTACCATGGAGACAAACAAAGCCAGAAAAGTTACCTAGTGCGCCTTCAGATATGAATGACAGTCAACTACTTCATGTTTGTTTTTGAGTTTTGAGTTCTTTGCTAAAACTTCAGCAAAGTCAATTTAGTACTATATAACGTTTTTTCTTTTCAGACATGCAAACCAAAACATTTCAGGATTTTCTATAGGCCCAATAACAACATGTCTACACAGAGTTTAAAGGACGAGTAATTATTTTATTCAAGAGTCTGGGCAGAGACAGAACATTGTGGGCGAGAGAAAAGACATCTGCCAGTTCTTGTTGTGTGTGAAATAAAAGCCGCTGCAGAGAGTGTGCCCGAGCCCTGTGGCCCCAAATCAACGCGCTGGCACCATCACAAGAGCGCCATGACAACAGTCCACCATTCAACAGCAGCATCATAGGGACCCAAAGCACTCGCCATAGAGAGAGAGGCAGCCAAGTCTTCAATGCCACCCTGCCAGGGACAAAGCACTGTCAGCACCAGCCAGAAATATAGCAAAATGAAACTTAGCTTAAATAAAAAAAAAAAAAAAAAAAAATATATATATATATATATATATATATATATATATATATATATATATATATATATATTTTATATTTATTTATTTTTTTATTAATTATTTATTTATTTATTAATTATCACATTCTACATCGTGAACAAACAAAAACAAATTAGGTGGAAGAGGTGGGCAATAAAAAAACTAAACAAAAACAATCTCTCAATATGTGTTGGCATATGTAACATTTAGATAAGCAGAAGCTGTGTTTGCAATCCATCCGAAATGTGCTAAAAAGTGGTTCTGAATGTCTTAATTGAGTTTCAAGTCTCGCACAAGTGAATGAACTGTAAAATTAAACAAAAGCGTATCGTCTTATGCAGCAAGATTTTGTCTTTTCATTTTTTATTTTTTTTTTTAGCATTTTTTGGGGCAATTTTCTAGTATAAGAGGAGATATCCAATATACTTATTTTGTACTACCTTCAAGTTAACAATTTTGATTTTATCTTGTAGATATCAAGATATTGACCATCGATCTATAGGGTTGCCAAAACAATCAATAATTTAATCAAAATCAGAATCTGAATGGATACAATTGGCAAGCACAAATTTTTGAAGTTCCATCATTTCCTCAACAAACAACAAAATAAAAAGCACATTTGCAAACCTGTACAACATGTTTGCAATGTCTTTCTTGTATTAGTTAACTTCAGTCTTTCTGTCTTTCCTTCTAGATGATGCTTAGGATGTGAAGTTTAAACAGAATCCTAAAGAAAAGTGCAAATCCAATCACAGTGCTTGTCAAGAAATTACAATTACATTTTTCCCAATTGTTATACCCAAATCATTACTAAGACTAGTAACGAAAACGGATACTTCCATAACAACTTTCGACAAAGTGAACAAAAACAAGTGAAGGGGTATTAAGCAGACGCATGCCTCCCTCTCAGTCTCTCTTTCTCTGCCCCCATGCGGTTCTGTCCTGCTGTGGCGGAGAAAAGGCTGCCGCTAGCATCCAGATAAATTCAAAGACTAAGTTTGGTTTGATCTGTTGGAGCGATATTGTGTCCTCTCTGTGTTTCAGCTAAAAGAGGTTCTAATAAAGGCGATACAACAAAGCAACTGATGTTTCATGCTGTGTCTAAAAGCAAAATAAATACACTTAGCAAGTTGAGGTGCTACAGATACTCTCTTCACTTCAACTATTTAGAACATATAGGCTCAGCAAGTAACATTGTCTAATAAAGTACTACGACTACACTTTACTAAGCTAAATACTAGGACTAAACTAAGATTAAACAAAAACTAAACCATGTGAAAACCAGAACAAAAACAAAACAAAATGTGAAATTCAAATGCAATTACCAGCAGATAAACCTAACATATAACTATTTAAAATATATACGCATAGCAAGCAGCATTATCTAACTAAAAAAGCACTAAACTAGGACTAAACCAGAACTAAACCACATGAAAACCAGATCCAAACTAGGACTGAATCCAAAACAACCATGACTCAAACAAAATGTATA